TTACTCACAGTTTTGATGCTTGCTTCCTTGACTTGATCCACGATTAGCTCTGCACCATCGCTCTGCTGTTTTCTCCTCATGCTTCTCCTTCATGCGTCCTGTCCTCAGATATAATCCAACCTGCCTCCTTGTTTCCTCCTTGACTTGTATTAGCAAAATTTCCAGTTAAATTAAGAGAAGTCCAGAAAAGTTTTCCTGCTTCAAAAGCTCTTCCAGTTGGCTGTCTTCTTGTCCTCCTTCAAATGTGCATCTTTCTACATTTGTATTTATTTGACTTCATATTGCCATGACAACATATCACAGAGCATCATGGTAGTTTAAAGCAGGTGGTTCTGTCCTTTGCAGAAATGCTGGTGTTCCATAGTCATGTAAAAGTATGTTAATAATCTTTAAACAGACACTCACTGATCCTGTAAGAGCAGGAATTTAACTACAAACCCTCACAGTACCCATCAGTATCATTCATTCTGCTCTGCCGCAATGGTCACAGTAGCTGGTTTAAGTACGTTTGTTCAGTGAGTCCCTTTGATACATATTTAGACCTTCATAATTTTCACGGTGCATGAGTGTTATATCTCCATGTCATCCTAAACATTTTACCAACATGTAAAAGGGATACGTCCATAAGATTTTGATTTGTTTAATTTTAATTTAAACTTGTTTTATTCTGAATACATGTGTGAGATGGCCCTCAGGCCTCTAAATCCACGTCCTGGTTTGGGTGACTACTTGGATTAGGGGAGTATTATTTAGAGCAATGTTTGTCACTTTGTTTAACTGCTCAACTCGGGCCATTTTTGTTCAGTCTTTTTCTAACTGAACTTTCACATTTAACATGCTAACTGAAGCCTGTAGAGTCTGAGATGTAGCTCTTTTGTTTTCTGTATTGTACAGTCGGATTTAGGGGTGAATTTGCTGGGATTGGTGACTGTGTTGCATGTTTTGAATAATCTTCTTCAGAGTAGACTTTACGTGTAAGCTGATAGTGAATGAAAAAAAGTATAAAAAGCTGCTGTGGTTTTAACGTTCCAAGAGAGGTAATGCACATAATGCAGAGACGAGCGCACGGAGGATATCCAAATTCTAGGAAGGCAGCCTACTGCTGTACACAGGCGGATTCTTCTCAGTCATAGTTCTTAACAACTTGACTGTTTTCTCAAACCACACAAAGAGTGCTGTTTCCATTCTGGGAAGTCTACTCATTGGTCTTCAAATTATAAGTAGTTATATATGAGCAGCTATATTAAGTTTGGCTTAACATAGGTTAAATAGTATACTTTCCTGTTTTAACATTTATGATGGCTCAAAAATGAAACCTTAAAAATTAAAACCCTGAATCATCACCACTTGTGTGAACTACAAGGGTGCCATCATTTTTCTTTTCAATCTGTTAAGTACCACATTTTACACACTGAGCAATAAAGGAATTAAGCTCTTCATGTTGACCCCAGAAATTTTAATGTATCACTTTCTAGCATACGGCTGACACTGCTCGACATCTTACAGTGCAGTATAAGAGTCCCGCCACAAGGAGACACTAAAGGCTTTCAAACCAACAGTTTCTGCTTCCAAAGCGGCGCCAACCGTTAATAGTGGACATTGGTTGCACACAGATGTTTTGCTTTGGCACGAGCTTAAACAATTGAGTTGAATTAACACAAGTTATTCATATTCAATAAACCTGTGCAATTTGTGTTGATAAAATATGATTGAAACGTGTTTTAGTAAAATAATTTCAGCTCTTGGAATATTTTAATCCTTCACAATTTTCACACTTTATTCCAACACTATTCAGTGACAAACAAACAAAACACTACATTTTCTGAAATATTTGTGGGTTTTTTCTTGTTTGTTTTTATACTACTTGAACACTGAAGTGACCCTTCAATGTGATGACAGTGCCAGCAGTGGCCCACAACTCATTTAACACTTTCTCTTAATTGGCTCATAACAGTCTCTCTTATGTATGAACTATGTAGGCTATCTCTATTTTAAAATAATGGGTGGGCAATGAGAGCATCTCCTCACTGTGTACTTTACTGACAACAAGACAACAGGGAATACAGAGAACTGACTGAGGACTTTTTCCAACTGGTGCCAGCAGAACCACTTCCAGATCAACACTCGGAAAACCAAGGAGCAGGTAGTGGACTCCACCTACACCAGTGAACATCCAGAGAATGGGCATTAAGATAGCTGACTCATATAAGTGATCTGACCAATAAACTGGTCTGGAGTAACAACAGAGAGTCCATGTACACAAAAGGATAGAGACGGTTGTATTTGCAACAGAGAAATCTTTTGGAAGGGATTTGGAAGGGAGCAGGGAGAGCTCCTGGAGACCTTCTAGGACTCTTTGGTGGTATTGTCCATGTTTTATGGTGTGGTCTACTGGGGACAGGAAGAAACTGAACAGGTTGATCAAGAAAACTAGCTCTGTTCTGGGATGCCCGATACTGGCTGCTGTCTCATTGTTCAGAGAGCCTATCATTATGCAGAGAAAGGAATCTGTGTCTCTGGACCAAAATGACTGTATGTGTAGTGCTGTAGAAACAATACTGCCCAAAATCCTGATGTTTCTATATGAGGAGACCTTCAAGTTTGCATATCCTCCTGTAAGGGTAAAGTTATGGGACATTTGCACTTTTTGCATGTAAGCCTGTCAGTCTTAACTGCAAGTTGAACTTGAGCTGTCTTGGCATCTTTCCCTTGTTTGACTCCCAGTTTTGCCCTGAGCTGAACCGCTGCCTCCTTCTCTGTTGTGGTACTCAGCGGTGACCAAGATGCTGTAACGTGTATCTGGCTGCAATGACTCCAGCATCACCTGCTTCTTCCCACTAGGGACCAGCACCTGCAGACAACAAACCACACCATCATCCCAACACAGTCAAAACTCATTTAAAGTTTTGGGACTTATGGAATTCCTGGAATTCTCACACATGACAGCCGCCTGAAAGCCAGAATTGAAGATGTAATGACTAGAACCCACTCACAGTGTGACCCTGGCTATCAGCTCCAGTCAATGCTGTGTAGGACACACGATACTGGAGGACATGAGCATTGGGAGATACCCAGCTAATCACCATGCTAACGGCAGTCTCATCAGAAACCGTGAGGCTGGTCGGGCCTCCACCAGACACTGCAGCAACATCATAGAAGAGATAAAGTACCACAGCTAACGACACTTAACACTCACTTTGTTCCTTTATAGGAGGAAAGTGCAAAATGTTTTTTAGACAATAAATGTATAGTATAACAGAGAATGTGATTTGATACTTTTACCCTCACTACATTTATTTCATAGCTCAGAGTTCTAGTTGCTCAAAGATGAGAATTTAGATGTGAAATTTAAACTTTAAGTGACTAGTACTTTGGGAACGGCCATCAATTACACAATGAAGTTCATTTACGTACAGGTTATTGTATTAGTAATGCTATATTATACATAGAGACGGAATATGACATGAAGGGCTACTGACCACAGAAAAGTAAAAGGTAACTGGGCCTATAGACTAACAGGAGAGAAACAAGCTTTCTGTGATTCTATGATTTTTATTTCTGTGTTTTTGTGGTAATCTTGGATATCTTAAGTTGTTTAATTACTGTCATACATATCCTATCATTAAAACATTGGCTTCTAACAACTAACAGTGTCTCGAAAATAATTTAATAAATAAACAAATAATATAATAAAAAAATAAAAAAGGATGATTGACTCAAATGCATGACTTTTAACTTGTCTATTTTTTAGGCTGAACACTAGTGCTAATGTGACTTTGGTAAATGGTTTCAGGCTCTCCCCTCCTGTGTTTGAGAAATGCTCAGGATCAGAAAATGTGCACTGACCATTATTGGAGAATTAAAAAGCACCTAATTCAAGGAATATGTGTACACATAACAGAAAACTTGGGAAAGAACCAATTTGAAATCTTTAAGCACTTTGTTACTAGCGGCCTGTCACAAAAACACATTTTGTATAGTGTTTTTTTTATTATCTTGTTAATAAAATGTATACAAATGTGTGTGATCGATCACAATGTGTTAGTGTGTAATCACCCTGAGACATGCATGCCTGTCTGTAAGAGTCAGATCTAAAGCCACTTGTGATTTGGAGATGCAGCCTGCAGATTCTGTCCAGATTATCCCAGCTCTCTTCACTATATATCCAGGCTTCACTTATCAAATCTGTAAAATTCAAGGCTGGTCCTTAAAAGTTCCCAACAATGCAAAAACTGCATAGCCACACAAGTGCCAGCGTTTCCCACCGCAGCAGCTGTGAAACGAAAGAGGAGAAAGGATGAATGAGTGTTTGCTTATCGGCTCTCCGCTCTCCCCCAAGCTGGCGTTGTTCTTGGTAGCCATGACAACGGAGATAGTCCCAGCTTTGTAAATACAGGCCCCAACACCCAAAAAAGAAAAGAAAAAAAAAGGATTGGGATTCCCTGCGCAGACCAGGAATCCCCCTAGCAGACTGAAGACACAGAGAGGATTTGAAGTCAGTGAGTGTGTGAGTGAGTGTGTAAGTGTTCGAGCCTCGACTCGAACCAGCGCCTGTCTGTGCTTCAAGTTGCCAGGGGCCGGCAAGTGTTCTGCGCCACCTACCGGCCGTGGAAGCCGTACAAATTTGCTATATTTGACTTCTCTGAATATAAATTATTTTTGAAAAGGAAAAATAATAATTTTAATGTGAGGCAAAACATGTATGGTGCTCGATAAAGATGACACGCCGACTCACTTCTTCTTCTTTCTTTTTTTTGCAAAGTTTGTTTTCATATTAAACCAGTGTCAGTGACGTCATTCTATGCGACTACAACAGTAAAGGAAAAGCCTGGATCTGTACATCTTTTTCTTTTATTTTTGTTGTATAAAACACAAAAATCGCGAAACAGTCAGCTCACAAAGTTGCAGGTTGGTGGCAATTTGGCAGAACAGCCAATGACTTAAAACATTTAAGTGCATATATCTTGCCACAAGACATGTGCGCTAAGCTAGCCAAATTCGTTTCTGTTAGCGAATCAAGTTCAAGCTCCTCACATATCATCATCCAGGGTACAGTCATATGCTCATGAGGAGATCCCACGCAGGTAACACTACGGCAGTGCAACAAGTTAAATATGCACACATTTTAAGCTATTTCCTAATATCTAACCATTATGATAAATGTTTGCCTGCAACCGACACAACCAACACAAATGTCATTGAAAAAAACAAAACCCTGTGATCACATGTTTCTGTTTTTCTAGAACAGAAGAAGCACAATTTAAAAAGCCAGTAGTAATAAACCTTTGTTGTTACTGCATGATTCGAATGAAGTACCTGAAGTCTGGCTGGAATAAGAAGTGGTAATCTGTGTACTGTGCTAGTGATCTGCATAATTCACCTCATCTGTTTGGATGGCAGAAGTCGGCTAACTACACAGCTAATTTCATCAGGCTGCTAATGAAACATCTAAAATGATAGATGGTTAACTACACAACGGAAGTAACAGCATTACAATCACTTGATTTAATTACATTTCCCCCCCCAAACTTTTGATCCAAATTAGCAAAGTACTGCAGCCATAGAATAGAATAGAATTCAACTTTATTGTCATTGCACATGCACAGGTACAGGGCAATGAAATGCAGTTTGCATCCATCCAGAAGTGCTTTAGTGATATAGATATATTACAATATATATTAGCAATAGTATAGATATGTAAGTATATTACAGAAATGGGTCTATTATGGTATGTTATAATGTACACGGTATGAAGTATGTTGTGAATGTTCTATAACTATAAGTATGTACAGGCTATGAACAGGATATAAATATGAAAAACTATACAGAATATGAAATAAATAACTTTACAGAAATCTGGGATATACAGCTATACAGAAATGGGAACTATGCAAGTTGTAAACAGTTGTAGGATTAAAAATTATCGAATGTACAGAATGATTATTTACACAGAGCTATACAGTAGTGCAGTTAAGATAAGTGAGGGTGTAGATAGTTTCTACAGAGGCTATATAAAGTGCTAGTGGTTGTGAGTGGTGGTTCAGTCCATGTTATTATTGTGTGTTTGAGGGTACAGTTGTCCATTGTGGGTGTGTGTCCATGTTTTAACGTGGGTCAGATGTCAGGAGGCAGAGTTCAGGAGTCTGACAGCTGTGGGGAAGAAGCTGTTCCGGTACCTGGTGGTCTTAGTCCGGAGGCTCCTGTAGCGCCTCCAAGAGGGAAGGAGGGTGAAGAGTCCGTGTGATGGGTGACTGGGGTCTTTGATGATTTTCCCAGCCCTTTTCAGACACCGCTTCCTGTAGATGTCTTTCATGGCAGAAAGTGGTGCTCCGGCGATGCGCTGGGCAGTTTTCACGACCCTCTGCAACGCCTTCCGGTCCGAGGCAGAGCAGTTCCCGTACCAGACTGTTATACAGTTGGTCAGGATGCTCTCGATGGTGCAACGATAGAAGTTCACCAGGATGTCTCAGGACAGGTGGTTCTTCCTCAGAGTCCTCAAGAAGAAGAGGCGCTGGTGAGCCTTCTTGACCAGCTTGGAGCAGTTGGTCGTCCAGGTGAGATCCTCGGAGATGTGGACTCCCAGGAACTTGAAGCTGCTCACATGCTCCACAGCCGTCCCCTTAATGTGGATGGGTGGATGTGGGTCAGCATTCCTCCTGTAGTCCACGATGAGCTCCTTGGTCTTCTCAGTGTTAAGCAGCAGGTTGTTTGTGTCGCACCACTCAGCCAGACGATCCACCTCCTCCCTGTAGGCGGCCTCATCGTTGTCCCTGATGAGGCCAATCACCGTGGTGTCATCTGCAAACTTAATGATGGTGTTGGAACCATCAGCAGGTCTGCAGTCGTGGGTGAAGAGGGAGTAGAGAAAAGGGCTCATCACACAGCCTTGTGGTACACCGGTGTTCATTGTGATTGTAGATGAACAGCGGTTATCCAGCCGGACATGTTGGGGGCGGTTGGTCAGGAAGTCCAGTAACCATTTGCAGATGAGGGAACTGATACCCAGGTCTGTCAGTGTCCTGATGAGTTGTGAGAGGTGGATTGTATTGAATGCTGAACTGAAGTCTATAAACAGCATTCTGGCGTAGGTGTTGTTGTTGTCCAGGTGTGAGAGGACAGAGTGCAGTGCGATAGAGACTGCATCCTCTGTGCTCCTGTTCTGGCGGCATGCGAATTGGTGGGGGTCCAGGGTGGGGGGGAGACAGGATTTGAAGTGTGCTAGGACCAGCTGCTCTAAGCACTTAGTGATGGGGGTGAGTGCTACTGGGCGGTAGTCATTGAGGCAAGATGGGTTGGAGTTTTTGGGTATCGGGACGATGGAGGTGGATTTGAAGCAGGCCGGTACCACGGCGTGGGCCAAGGACAGATTGGCCCATCTGAACCTTCTAGGTGTTACATGTTACAGTGTTCCACTCTGGCCAGCTTTGAAAATGGAAAACTCTTTGCGTGGTTTACTCGGTTCTGTAAATAAGGCTCCTTTCATTTGTGAGACTGTATTCCACAGCCAGTTGTCTTCTCTCCCCTTTGGTCCGCCCTTACAAGGTGAAGGTGCTGCCCACCCATGATACCAGCAAGGTGCGTGCAAGTGGATCCGGCCTTAACACCACTGGAGCGCCCACCTCTCTGCCAGTGAAGGTCACCATTGATGCCAAAGATGCAGGTGAGGGACTGCTGGCAGTGCAGATCACTGTGAGTGCATGAACGTGGACCACACAATAATGTATTCAAAGCATTGATATTTAGGTAACAGTTTTTGTTTTCTCCTGAAGGACCCAGAGGGGAAGCCCAAGAAGCAGATATCTGTGACAGCCATGATGGGACCTACCTGGTGTTTTATGTGCCAGACATGACTGACAGATACACCACTCTCATTAAGTACGGAGGAGACAAGATCCCTTATTCACCCTACTGAATCAGGGCTCTGCCCACCGGAGATGCCAGCAAGTGCACTGTCACTGAATGTTGTCCAGTGGCCAGGTAGGACTCACTTCCTTGGTTGCTTATACACTTTTAGTTTTCTTTGAAAACGGCCCTTTAAGTCACTTGATCCATGACTTGAGCGAGCACTCTCCATTTGTTCATTTGATAGTTATTGTAGAAAAGATAAGAAATGATGCTTTAGTCTTTTTGTAAATTATAGTCAAACATACAATAAACTGAGGTATTCCCTTTGGTTAACAGAGCAATCCGATAATAAAAGTGGACAAAGCACATCGAGTTGCCACAAATATCTTTGTATATTACGCAGTGGGGCAAAAAATGAGGTGACCAAATACTTCTTTTCCACCATAATTTGCAAATCAGTTCTTTAAAACTCGGACAAGTTAGAGGTATACCTATGATGAAAATGACAGGCCTCTCTCATATTTTTAAGTGGGAGAACGTGCACAATTGGTGGCTGACTAAATACTTTTTTGCCCCACTGTATTTGATCCTGTCTCCCTCAATACTATTTAATATCTAAATGCTTGATTCATCATATTATAACAAATGTGCTGTTGTAGCTACTGACAGTGAGTTTGATTCCATTTTTTCCATCTACCAAAGAGAAATAATATCTCTTAGTGGCAGGTGGATCACACGTTGATTCTAACACTTTGCATATGACTGGGTAGGATGAGCATTTTATAAGCGCTTGTGTGGTTTTTGTTTATTTAAGGAAATACATCAGTTTCCCTTGTATTTTAAATTTGAGTGAAGATCCTAAATTGGCCCCCACTCTTCACTTTGAGAAAAGGCTAATCTGTCTTATCCCCACATGAGCACAGTCAGATATAATACAGGCTTTCACTCAGGAGCAGGAAGGCTAAAGGCTGTTTAATGTTTGATCTAACTGTGTCAGACATTTGCGTTCTCACGTGCATGGACAATATCTTGAAAACTTCAGAGCTGCAGTGCATGTGTAAAAGTGGTTAGAAAGCAGTGCTTTAACACAGGTTTTGTCTCTTTGCGTAGCTGCTCGGTCCATCCAGACTCCCCTCGATATACAACAGTGATGCCAGCAACTCAAATACAAGCTCTCTCCAAGTGATTCCTTCATCATCAACATCTGCATCCATGATCCATTAGCTCAACAGCAACATCTGTCAGCTGTGCATCCAACTCGGGGGAATCGCCTGCTGTGCTCAGCCAGTGGGCCGCAATTTCTGTGCCTTGTTGATGGCCTCGCTGTATCCTGTGCTGGAGAAAGCTGGTGAGGAGACACTGCTGGTGAGCCAGGCGGCGCTGAGCTCCATGTAGGACATCAGTAAGGCCTGTGGATACACTTCCCTCAAGGAACTGATCAATGAGAACTCTGACTACCTGCTTAATGACATATCACTCAACCTTCAGAGGCTCAGCCAGCATCCACAGGTAGTTATGAGGTGTTTTTGTTTTTAGCCCAGAATGGACACAGAAATGAGTGCTGGAGGGTTTACCCGATTTCCTTCTTTGTCTGCTTAAGCCTGTGCGTCCCTTTCAGTAAGTGATTTGAATCCACCTGACATTCAGAAGGTCGTGGTAGAGCATATCGTACGAAGGCAAGATGTCAAACACATCCAGTCCCAGGTTAGACTCCGTACCTTCTCCGGTAAGGTTCCCAGACCTAACAACAAAACTGATTATGACACGTGGCGCACACAAATTAACCTGCTCCAAAATGACCCCAGCATGTCCCCGCTGCAAATATCCAGAAAGATCCATGAGAGCCTGCTCCCACCAGCAGCTGATATAGTTAAAATGTGTGACTCACAGGTGCTATAGCGTACGGCCACAGCTTCACTCTGAGCTCCATCTCCATAGAGTGCAGACAGTGATATCTGATACTCCTTAAGACACAGGACAACAGTTTATTGAGATATTGTATTTTTTATTTCATAATATGTACTCCAACAACTCAATAGTTCTTCCCCACCTGCCTCAGGTCGCCTCCACTTAGGGAGATCCACTTAATGAGGTAAGAAACATCATCATCATCTGCAGCTTCCCAGCGCACCGTGATGTCACTGTCTGAGAAATTAGTTATCCTAAGGTCTGAAGGAGGAGGCACCTTCACTAGAAGAAAAGAATAATGTGTATGGGAATTTTTAAAAATGGGAAAGCTACATCTTTATATCTTTCATTATTAATAACATTTACAGTACTGTGCAAAAGTCATGAGCCACACGCTAAAGTATTTCATTGGACATTATCTGTTTTTTCCAATCCTTTTTAATCCAGTTCTTGTACCTGACCATTTTCTGAGTAATGTTTTTTGTTTGTTTGTTTGTGTAAACACTTGTTTGTTTGTTTGTTTGTGTAAACACTTTGCACTGACCATTATTGGAGAATTAAAAAGCACCTAATTCAAGGAATATGTGTACACATAACAGAAAACTTGGGAAAGAACCAATTTGAAATCTTTAAGCACTTTGTTACTAGCGGCCTGTCACAAAAACACATTTTGTATAGTGTTTTTTTTTAATCTTGTTAATAAAATTTATACAAATGTGTGTGATTAATCACAATGTGTTAGTGTGTAATCACCCTGAGACATGCATGCCTGTCTGTAAGAGTCAGATCTAAAGCCACTTCTTTTTTTTCTTTTTTTTCTTTTTTTCTTTTTTTTTTGCCTGTCCCGTTTGGCTCTTTTGCCATCAGAATTGTTGTCTAAAGGCAAAGAAAGATGCCCAACGGATTTACTTTACCAAATTGACCATCCCAGCCTTGCCGTAATGGTCCATTTGATTCACCTTTTATTGTTTATTTTATTTTCACTTGCTGAATACGGGACAGACTTGACTGGGGGAAAGAAGGGGAGAAAGAAAGAGGGAAAGAGAAACAGCTGAGAAGAGGGACGGGGGAGAAGGGCAAAAAACAAAAACCAACAGAATGAGCAGAAAAAAAAAAGAAATAAAAAATGCATATATCGATCACCTGGATCACCTGCTGAGAAAGAAAAAAGAAAACAAGCAGAAGAGAACAAGAGTAATAGAATAAACAGCATCACAATGATATATGGGAATATGACAGTAAATACTAAATATTAAACATTATTGTGCAGCACATAAGATCAACAGAACACAGTGTGCTTTGAGGTAGGAGCCAAAAAGGGTGTAGTTTGTGGGTGTGATCACCCATGTGTACACCTGTGAGCATGGATGCGCTTGTTTTTTTTAAAAAAGGTTCCTTCATGTAATGATCTGCTAGAGGGTGTGGGGGGGCCACAGCCCCGTCCTCCAGGGCATGAAGCAGGTATGGAGGAGATCAAAACTCCAGACATCCAGAGGCCCCCAGAACACAAGAGACCAAGGAAGACCAACAGAGGGGCAGCCGCGCCACTGTCCCAGAAAGAGCTGAGGAGAGTCCCAGATGAGGGCTCACTCAGCAGCCGCGGAGCAGAAGCCAGGGGGAGTTGCAGTGACGCGCCCGTGAGCTCCGCCGGCAGCCAGCCGTGCCTGAGTGACCGAGCCCCAGGCCGAGAGGCCGGGGGCACCCCACCTCCGAAGTGGCCCGAGCGAGCCCCAGGCTCCAGGCCCCGATAAGCGGCCGCCAAGGAGTGAGCCGGTGTGTACCTGGACGCCCATCCCCGGACACAAAGAACCACCAACGCACCGATGTCTGAGGGGGTCCGCCACTGGCAGGGGAAGTGGTGGTAGGGGGAGATAGGCCTCCAAACCTTGGAGGGCCTGAGATGTCCCCAGAGAGGTGGCGCCTGACACTCTGATAGTGCTGCACTGCATGTTTTTCCCTTGATGTCACTATTTTCAATGTGTTAAGGAGTGAATAGTGAACTTCTTTTAATGGTGTGTTTAATTAATTTGATTTAATAACTTGTGACCTTTGAGTCCCTTCCTTGCAAGAATTATGGCCAATGACGGAAATGTATGTATTACATTTAAGATTGGAAAACAATGTCAATGCCACAAACGTGAGTTGTCATATACATCTGTGAGTTAATCTGCACAACCGTGTGCACATGTGCTCTGTGCATGTACACACACAAAGAATTGACCTTCGTTCCTTAAATTTGTAGCATTGCCTCTGTGCTGCCTGATGGTGCTCAGTGGCTTTTGCTTCTTGCTTTTAAATCAGATGTCACTCTCAACATAAACACAAGCTACAGCAGCCAAGCAGTCTTAGCTGAGGAAACAAAGATACATTTCCTCATTTAATGTAAAATATTGTGGTGATGTTATGTTATATTAGGCAGGCAGCTGCCCAAATAACACTGTGACAATCAAAAGTACAGGGAGTGCAGAATTATTAGGCAAATGAGTATTTTGTCCACATCATCCTCTTCATGCATGTTGTCTTACTCCAAGCTGTATAGGCTCGAAAGCCTACTACCAATTAAGCATATTAGGTGATGTGCATCTCTGTAATGAGAAGGGGTGTGGTCTAATGACATCAACACCCTATATCAGGTGTGCATAATTATTAGGCAACGTCCTTTCCTTTGGCAAAATGGGTCAAAAGAAGGACTTGACAGGCTGAAAGTGGCATTGGTTTTGGTGCCATAAATAGTCAAAAATAGTGAGATATCTTGCAGAGGGATGCAGCAGTCTCAAAATTGCAAAGCTTCTGAAGCGTGATCATCGAACAATCAAGCGTTTCATTCAAAATAGTCAACAGGGTCGCAAGAAGCGCGTGGAAAAACCAAGGCACAAAATAACTGCCCATGAACTGAGAAAAGTCAAGCGTGCAGCTGCCAAGATGCCACTTGCCACCAGTTTGGCCATATTTCAGAGCTGCAACATCACTGGAGTGCCCAAAAGCACAAGGTGTGCAATACTCAGAGACATGGCCAAGGTAAGAAAGGCTGAAAGAAGACCACCACTGAACAAGACACACAAGCTGAAACGTCAAGACTGGGCCAAGAAATATCTCAAGACTGGTTTTTCTAAGGTTTTATGGACTGATGAAATGAGAGTGAGTCTTGATGGGCCAGATGGATGGGCCCGTGGCTGGATTGGTAAAGGGCAGAGAGCTCCAGTCTGACTCAGACACCAGCAAGGTGGAGGTGGAGTACTGGTTTGGGCTGGTATCATCAAAGATGAGCTTGTGGGGCCTTTTCGGGTTGAGGATGGAGTCAAGCTCAACTCCCAGTCCTACTGCCAGTTCCTGGAAGACACCTTCTTCAAGCAGTGGTACAGGAAGAAGTCTGCATCCTTCAAGAAAAACATGATTTTCATGCAGGACAATGCTCCATCACACGCGTCCAAGTACTCCACAGCGTGGCTGGCAAGAAAGGGTATAAAAGAAGCAAGACTAATGACATGGCCTCCTTGTTCACTTGATCTGGACCCCATTGAGAACCTGTGGTCCATCATCAAATGTGAGATTTACAAGGAGGGAAAACAGTACACCTCTCTGAACAGTGTCTGGGAGGCTGTGGTTGCTGCTGCACGCAATGTTGATGGTGAACAGATCCAAACACTGACAGAATCCATGGATGGCAGGCTTTTGAGTGTCCTTGCAAAGAAAGGTGGCTATATTGTTGGCTGATTTGTTTTTGTTTTGTTTTTGAATGTCAGAAATGTATATTTGTGAATGTGGAGATGTTATATTGGTTTCACTGGTAAAAATAAATAATTGAAATGGGTATATATTTGTTTTTTGTTAAGTTGCCTAATAATTGTGCACAGTAATAGTCACCTGCACACACAGATATCCCCCTAAAATAGCTAAAAGTAAAAACAAACTAAAAACTACTTCCAAAAACATTCAGCTTTGATATTAATGAGTTTTTTGGGTTCATTGAGAACATGGTTGTTGTTCAATAATAACATTATTCCTCAAAAATACAACTTGCCTAATAATTCTGCACTCCCTGTATATCTATTTTGAACGCCTCAGCTGGAAAAAATTCAAAATGGTTTATAAAGTTGGCCACAGGTCTGTATGTAAATGGCAGTTAAAACATTGCTTCATATTTGGATATGTATGATGTTAGTTTCTAAATACTAAAAAATGTGTTTATTAACAAAGTAAACTAAAAATAGACATTATTAAATTTTATACTTTTAACTACTGAATTGAACATAATATGAAATAATGTGTTTCCACTGTGGGAATGATGGATCCAATGACAAATAACTTTCAGATTAGTAAGCTATATTTTTAATTTTTCTAGTTTTCCATTTCTATTTAGATGATTTATATTTATATTTAAAATGAACAGGATCATAACAAAATAACACCACTGCAAGTGTAACAAAAATATGTTGAAATCAAATGGTATGTTATTTGAAATCAATATGAAACAATGACACATGCATTTTATCCAATGTTTTTATTTATTTCATTTTTCCCAATTGTCCAAATTAGTCTGTGATTTGTCTTATTGTCCAACAAATCATATTTATATACAAATATATGTGACTCTCAAATACGATTTAAATGGATCATTCCTCACTTGATGACGAATTATCCATTTAAATATTTGCAGAGTCCTAAACTTGATGCCAGTGAACTTATCAGCGGTTGGTTTTTAAAAAAAAAGCCCAAAAAATCCCCTATGAGCAAGCACTTGGCGACGGTGGGGAGGAAAAACTCCCTTTTAAAGGGGAGAAACCTCCGACAGAACCAGGCTCAGGAAGGGGTGGCCATCTGTCGCTGCCGAGTGGGCTTAAAATGTTCACTGTCCATCCTCCTTCTGACAGGAGCTTCCTACAGACCAGGTATGAAGGATGCCTGAGTGGACATACAAAACTCACAAGTTCCTGGCTCTCACGGCTCCTATGCAGAGGGTTAGTCGAAGACGGAGGGGCATCGCGAGGGGCGTCGGGGGACGGGGGACTGTGCCTCACTGCCCTCCCCTTCTCCAAGAAACCCGTCTTCAACAGAGTCGAGAGAGCCGGGAACTTGTGAGGTGTGCATGTCCTGGTGAGCCTCCACCTTTTATAGGGGGTGCAGCCTCGACTGTACAGAGACAGACCAGACCAGCTGCACCACACGACACTTCAAACCTAATCTGAGTACAAAACACACACACACACACACATTCATATACCATTAAAAAAACTGGGTTCCTTTACAATGTCAGAAGGAGGAAGGCACTAAGGCACCGCCTTCCGCCCTCGACGCTCGCGGTGCCCTCCTTCTGACAGGAACTT